AAAAAAAAAAAAAATGACGGGAAAGAAGAAAGGAAAGAAAAAATGGAAAGAAGGGAAAGAAGGAAAAATAAAGTAAAGAAAAAAAGGAAAGAGGAAGGAAGAGGGCAAGGAACGGGGCAGAGGGGAAGCAGCGCTCCAGCCGCGCCGACCTCCGTGCCGTGACAGCCGCGCGGCGCAGCCCCTTCCTTCTTCCCTTCTTTCCTCCCTTCTTTCCCTCCTTCTTTCCCTCCCTGCCCGCCCTGCGCCGCCGCGGCCGCCCTCACCGATGATGGGTCTCTCGTTCCCCCGCTGCGGGCGGTCGCGCAGCGCGGCCGCCCCCGCCGCGCCGCAGCGCAGCAGCAGCAGCACCAACGGCAGCAACGGCTGCAGCGCGAGGGCGGCGCTCGGCAGCGCCGAGACCCCCGCGCGGCGCCGCATGGCGCCGAGCCGAGCCGAGTGTCCCCGAGCTGGGCCGAGCCGAGCCGAGTGTCCCCGAGCTGGGCCGAGCCGAGCCGAGCCGAGTGTCCCCGAGCCGAACCGAGTGTGCCCGAGCCGAGCCCCGCCCCGACCGCGCCACCTCCCCCCTCCGCGCGCCGCGGGGCACGCTGGGAGATGTAGTTCCGTTCCTGTAGCGTTACCGTCCAAAACTGCGAGCGAAGGTGGGAAAGAGGCAACGCTTGGGAAAAGCAACGCTCCCATTATCCTAAAGTAATTCAGAGCTCTTAAAGATGGACAAGATTTTCTGGTTCGTCTAGAAAAGGTTTATTGTTTTAATGATGTTAATATGTGCAAAATTATAAAAYGCATTACAGTGTATTCTGTATGTTACAGTGTGCTTATGGTCAGTTGTATATCATATTTGCACCAGTATSTAACAAAAAATTTCTTTTTCTTTTCTTTAAAGGCACTGCTGGTCTTAATATAGAAAAATAATGCACTTACATATTTTTGTGTTCTTTACTCTACACCAATCTCCCCACTAATACTACTTCCATTCATTATGCAATWTATCATGATTATATTATGTCCTTATTAGCAGCAGCAACTAATGTTGGTTGTTATATGCAGAACGCTCAGTTTCTATGTTAATGTGTGAGCATTAAAAACTAAGTAAGAGTTCATGAAAAAAAGAACGCACTTAAGTACTCTAACTGAAATAGTCTTAAGCGAAGATTTTTTTTTCTCCATTACCAAAAGAGACGCTCTACTGAAAGTAACAGTTTTTCTCAGTGCTGATCAGAAGATATAGGCTAGCAAGCTGCCAATTACCTTTCTGAAAATAAAATGAAGATACTCAGCCCTTCCTATGCTGCAGGTCGGAAATGACCTACAAGGCACCATTAAACACCTAGCCCATTTCCAAAGTCCTGGTTCATAAAAGATAATCTACCTCACCCTCCAAAACAGAAAAAAAAAATACTGCCAACAGCCCTTTTGACCTCTATAGTGTTCCATAGTAGGAATTAAAGGTGTTCATAATGTGAGTTGCTTATAGCTTTTGCACAGAGAGCATCTCTTCCACAGAGGGCATCAGAAGTTTTGTTCCTTCTGATTCATACTGTCCTCTAAAGAATGTGTACATTGTGTTTTCTCTATGTTTTTCTATAAAATGTCAGATTGTGTTCCTTTTGTTCTAAGCAGCACAAATATAACAGAAGTGTTTCACTATTGCCAACTAATCTTCAGTTTGACTGTGCAATCTCAGCAATGCAAACTAACAGAACAGCCATTTCCCTGAGACTTAGTCCAAAAGCAGCTGCTGTTCACTCCTTGTACAATTGCACCTGTACTAATACTTCCACAAAAAACAAACTGCCCCATTTTGCGCTTTTCTTAAATAATTTCACTTTGCATCCTATCATCCTGACAAGCCAAGACACAAGAGATAGCATAAGGCTCTGCATTGCATTATTACAGGTTAGTACTTTACAGACTTAACAGGGGCAATATCACTCTCTCATACTCAGTGCATAGGACTATTCAGCTTTTTTTTTTTTTTTTTGGCACAGAAGTTAATCACAGATGATGGTTAATCACAAAAAGTATTGCAAACATACAGAATTCATTAATCTCTTCCGATGTACATACTTATTTACTCCAGGTAGTAGAAAAGTGCAGTTAATATGATACCACGTACACTGCAAAGACATTCTGGTTTTATTTACAATAATTTCAAGTTTAGGTGAAAGATTTCAGATTAAACTTTGTTCCACTTCCAGTCATCAGGAAAAGACAGAACACTGTGGTACGGTTATTACTGGGAAGCCAGAGAAATACTCTGCAGATACTCTGCAGATGCCATTATGAAGTTAGTCCAATCCTCAGCGAGCACCTCCATGGAGACTTCCTCCCCACCATATTCCTGAGGAAGAATGCTGGTTGGGAAGTGTTCGGTCAGGCTCTGCATGTAGTTATTTCCATGCATATGCACCTAGGACAAAATATGTAGAATGTTTGCTTCAGTATGAGTGCCAGGCTCTMAGGTGAAAACAGGCAGCAAAGAAACTCAGTGCAAGAGCAGGTCTGTGCCATTATTACAAGTGCTCCGAAGCTTTGCTCAGTAATTTCAAACAAAAACTTGTCCAGGCTCTTATATAACACTTGACAAGAATTTTGCACAACTAACTATATGACAAAAAGACTTCAAAAATTGGCCCTGAAAAGGCAGTTAGTTGCCTTTTGTCCAGTGCATCTTCTTTGTAACCCAAGATCATTTCAGAATAGCAATTATTCCTAGGCAAGATAAGAGCACCTGGTCCTGATAGCTTTTCTGGAGCTCATATCTTGACTTCTAAGCTCAGGGCACAAGCCTGTCTTGTAGGGGCTTCTTACACAGCTCTTATATGACAGGGGAAAGGCCATGGCATCAGGCTATGGTAGTATTTTTTTATTATCTTTTGAGATAGAAACTGCGCAAGCCTGGCCTGAATAATATAACCTCTTTTCTATGTTGAACACCAGGAAAAGCAGACTGTCAAATCACAAATCCCTGTGACCAACAGCATYTGGATGTGCCGGAAGGGCACGAGGTCTATGGCCTCAGCCAAGGAAGCTTCTGACTGGGAATAGGGACAGAGAGGGCTGCTGCTTTTGTACCTTAGCCCTGATGTTAACATTTCACAGCATCCCCTCTTCTGCCAGCTGGTATCTCCAAAATTTTTCCTATACTACAACAAACCCTTTCAAAATTCTTGGCATGCTCTTGCATAAAAACACAAAGAGTGTTTTCAGGTTTAAAACTACAAATTAATATAAAACAAATAAGTTATTTGGAAAACAAGTTGGAACTTTAGCCTGGGCTATTTAACATGCATAAAGGCCTCTGCATGTTCTTTGGCACTAGAAAATTATCTTCTGCTGTCTTTGTATGGCCTTGAGCATAATAACCTTGTTCAGTGACAGCTTCCCATTATCATTTATAGGCAACATTTAGGGAGGTCTGGCACCTATTCCTTACTAGTTCTGCRGCAGAATTTGTGTGTGACCTTTTAACCTCTCTGTGTAACAGTGTTTTTTATCTGATGAATGGTGCTAATAGGAGCCACTTGCAATTCTCACATTACTGATGCCTGTAAATGCTTTGCAATTAGACTCCTGTGCCTGTACAGTAATAAAACATAAAAATGATTTATTATTTTCAGTGCTCAGAAGTAACAAATCCTAAGGGAAGTGCTAGAGATTGTCATGTAGGGGTATGGTGAAAGAAAGAAATATTTGTGTGCACTCACCCGTTGTTTTATTTTTTCAGTGAGAAAAGGCTTAATTAGAGCGTAGACTGGGTGGAAGAATAAAGGCTCATTAATCAAGTGGATACCTCGAACTTTCAGTGGAAAGGAATCCTGACAAGGTATATGAGAAACAGCATGAGAAAAAGACATTATTAAAATGATTCTACTGTWAAGGACAAATCTTGGAAAAATAGCTGGCCCATAGGTTACAACACTCCTTTTGACTTTGCTAAGTCCTGCACTTTGGAGTTYACTTAGTTTACACAGCTCTTCACAAAGCTTAGAAAAACATGTCTTATTTCCCCCACTAGAAGGGAGGCATTTCAGGATGAGTAATGCAGGCAAAGTGTGTGTTCAAACTTTTCTCAGAAGTCCAGTTATTCCCAGTGGAGACTTAGCTACTAACTTACCAAAAAAGCTACCTCACCATGTGCTTTTATTGGTGTGAAAGAGGGAGGTACAAAGAGAATCTGTTTCTCCCAGGACCAAATATCTCCCAGGAAGTAATGAAACCTGCTAGCTGGCTAATTTAAAAAAAACAATACACCATATTACAAATTATATTTTCAAGGTTTTGGGAAAAAATACTAAGATATAGGAAAGTACTTTATATAGTCAAATATAAAGCATTGAAAATTCTAACTTTAAGATAGAGGAATGATATTTATAACTTAGAGACAAGATTTGAAATTAGTGGAAATTTTGCCCATGCCACCAYCTCAAAAGAAAATATGGCAATATTCAAACACCATAAGATGCAAAGACATGAACCATGGGGGAAGGAATTGCTTGCATTCATATTCCATCTAACTGATACTATCTCTGCAACCAGAGTTATAGTTATACTTATAGTTATACTTATATATACTTATATATACTTATAGAACTTGTATTTTTCACAAATAATACGCCCCAATAGTAGAGTAGCCTTCTTCACACTATTTCATGCATTCTTTTATGGGTAAGGAAAAAGAGTAAAAAAAAAAAAAACAAAAGAAGTGCAAACTCTTTTTAGATTTTCATATAGGATAAAAAACTTTAAAACTATCAGATTATATGTTTGCTGCCTGAATTATTATATGTTTAAATTATCCTGTCATGTTTTTCACAAAATTTAGTTTTGCCTGGTGCAACTGATTTTTGAAGATGATATTGCTTTTTGATGCTACTTTGCTTTTCATTTCTTGTACATCTACTTTCTATTTACTCCTATTTCTCCAYGTAAGATAATGATTTGCAAGAAAGACAACATTCCTAGGAGAAAAAACAGTGCTGAAACTAAGGTTCACTGCAGTTCACCTATCAGTTCTCTGTCCTCTCTGCTCTTTTTTCCAGGTAACTTTTGAATCCATTGGCAAAGTTCAACTGAATTTCACAGAAAGAAATATATCCTAAAGCCAGTCAGTCCCGTTAAGTTTTGTGAAAAATGAGATGTGAAGTAGCAGTGGGGTGCACAAAACAGTACTCCTGTTGTGGGGAAAGGCAAGGAGAACAGGTACAATATACATTGGGTTGGTAGCAGATGGATGGTTGCTTAACATCACTCTTTCTGGTCAACATGTTAGTACTGTCTTGSTCTTGGCTGCTCTTAGCACATGCTCTCTTCTCTGGGTATCAGGGAAGAAAAAGTCTTGCAAMATAGAGTTAATCTACAAATACGCAGAACAGAAGCAGCTGAATGGGAAAACTAACACAGATCCTTGCAAAAGCAGGTTTCCTCTGRTCTTACGCTCAAAGTATTCTTACGCTGTGACAGACAAGTGGAGTTAAACGAAACATCAGGAGCTAGAGGGCATTTGTGGCAACACAAGTGCATACTTTAAGTCAAATCATGCACAATTTATGCTTAACTTATCTGACTTTGAACAGATGCAAGACTTAGTTCTTTCAAGCTGCATGATCTCTACAAAGACCTAAGGAAGGACCATGTACCATAACTTGGAACAGAAAAATTTGTGGAGGGATTGCGGTGAATTAGCTTAAAACAATGTCACACTTACTGTGAGCACAGCAGCAATTTTCTTGGCCACCGCTGGACTGATTTGAAATGCATGAGCAAATCGCCATCCTTGTAGATCAAAGATAACCTTGACTCCATTTTGCTGGGTCTCGATCTCCTTTACAATGAGTTCAGATGTGATAAGACTTACCCGAAAGACATCATACGCTGTGAATAACTTGGGATCCCATTGTCCTGAAGAGATTAAACAGATAAAGTAGGTAAAGGTAAAACAGATTGCACTGTATTACAACAGGGATACCATAACCACCTCTACTTCTAATGTGTTTCTCAGAAACAAAAGGTAACTAGTGGGATCGAAGGTTTGGAAATAATTGCTGTAGTGGCAAATCAGTTTATTTTCTGTGCTCTGTCACTCACTTTTCACACTTATTTTGTTGCTGATACTGGAGAGGTTACCTAGKATAGGTAGGTACAACTGTGCACTCCAGGAAGAGAGTTTAATGGGAAAAGTTTAAGCTATATTAGCAAAAAGCAATGAGAAGTAAGGCAGAGCTCAAGGTGGATAACTGCTTCCCACAGGCTTCAGGAACTCCTGAAGGAAACCACAGATGGTCAATTCAGAGCCTATGCATTTTTCTTTAGTACAGCAATTCTGCCAAGATTCAAGGAATCCCATTTCTTTTCCTGAGGCCTGAGCAAAGAGATGTATGGGAGAAGTCTTAATCCTCACTGTGGTTTTTAGACAGCACAACTTTGTAACAAGATGTAGGGACCTTTTATTAGACCAGCTGGTATAAAATAATAATAATAATAATCTTTGAGAGCAAAATCATTTCTCTGTACAAAACAAAGAAACATGCTAATGTGTAATCATTCAGTCACAACACTTTTTTTAAAAAAATGTTGAGATCACATCAAACAAACCAAGAATCTTAAGAATGTTGCACATACAACGCAATTTGGCTACATCTAAAGAGCAGAAATGAAGTAAACTTCTCACCTTAGGCCTGCATTTCATCCACATCTAGACTGAAAGCTGATCACAGGCATGCAGCGTTTCTGCTATTCTTTTTCTCGCCACTGTGCCACATCTGCACCACACTATCAGCATATGGCTTTAAATATCCCCATGGAAATCAATTACTGGACCCTCAGGTCCAAATAACTACAGGTTTATTATACTTAGAGTTTTAAACATTTAACTTTATGGCTATTTTTTTTTCTTTTCTAATAGTGCATACATATGTATGACAAAAGGGAGCAGAAATACGTTATTCTTCCAGCTAAGACATTCTGACATCATTTTCAAACTTACCATTTCCTTGGGATTGTACCCATAAAATATTTTTCTCACTGAAAGTGTGATAGTTAAAAGAAAATAGCTTAATAATTATCAGTGCAAAAGCCAAATATGAAACAKGTCCAAGAAGTTTTTTACTCACCAATTCTGTATATTAGAACTTTGCTTCCAGATGGGTCTCTTGATCTCAGGACTCCGTGGTAGCCAGCCCGCAAAAGACCAAGAATGGAAGATGGTCGTAAATCTGCACTTATTTCTGGGCACTCAATTCTCCACTTCTGGTAATTCTTCAATAACTAGGGAGAAAAAAAAATGAAGGTCAGATGAACAACATGTGGGCACAGTCATGGGTTTAATTTATTAAATTGGCTTTCATTTCAATGTATATTTAAAGCAAATCACTCCTAAAAGCAGAAAGTTAGTATACTGGTTCAAAAAAGAGAAAGTTTTTTTTTTCCTTTTATTTCCAATGGACATTGATAAAATTTGATAAACCATAATAYTGAGATATTTCACCACCTGGAATTGCTACGAGATAGTTGACCCTGTCAACTTGTTAGCAGACTGTTAAGCAGAAAACAAACCTGGCGTATCTAGAAAGTGACATTATTTTTTAGATAAAACACAAGGGAGAAAAAGACACCCTTCTTTTTTGGGACATATATAGGATAATTCAGTTTCATACTTCATCAGATTTCATTCAGGACTTGTATAAGAGATATACAAAATCTTACAGAAGGAACATCTCCCACTGAGCGAAGYATGGTCCCCTTTAGTCACACACAAAGAAACATTACAAATTCACTAATACTTCGTTTATTCTTTGAAACAGATAAGGCCATCAGCATACCTAAAGCACATTTTAAAAGATAAGTTACTCCTACCCCTCCGAAACAGCATAAAGTAATATAGTTGATCCACCTCTGTCTTTCACTACCCATTAGACAGCTTTTCATCTCCTAGAGTGGAAATCATGAGAACTTGTTTGCTAAAATGAGATGCTGCCTATGGTTAGCAACACAATAACCCCTGCCTACAAGGCAGCATCATACAGTAGTATTTCTCAAGGATAACTTGGGCTGTGTGTTGAAGGGAAAGGGTTAATTCTAAAGAAGTGTTTAAAGGCTTTCCTTTCAGAGGTAACATTTAAGCTTTCTTAGAGACAGATCTTAAAAAATTAAGTTTGCATTAATTTTAATTTGGAAGTCTAAGTGCAGCTTTCCCTTCAAAATAAAGCAATGTAATTGAAGTTTACTTCTGGCATTTTGAATAGGTAAGTAGGAATGCAAGACCATTTTCAATAAAGCTTAGTCTCAGTTCATCAACTAAAATCTGTTTCTTCCACACTAAGTTTCTTGGCAATGAATTTGGAGAGTTGAGGGATAGCCCAGGTCAACGATTTAAATTTTGTATTACATTTTCCTAAACAGCTACAGGTTAGGCTTCTACGTGAGATTTTCAAAGGGAATTGGGAATATTCAGTATCTTGTTGCACAAAATGAAGTGTAGGCTAAAATCCTAAAGGTAGCATGCTAGGCTACCTTTAAATTTTTAATACTTTTGCTGGTTTGATGAAATAAAATATGATTCTCAACACAGTTTCATGTATTAAATATGTTTGACACAATTAAGGTATCAACCAGCATTCTCTGATAKCTCTTAAACTGTATTTATCACAGAAGATGAGAGGAGCCTCAACCTTGTGGCGTCTCCTCAAGGGGAGAGTTCTCCACTGCAGGCCTGCTGATTTCAAGGAGAACACAGCTTCAATTTGGGAAGTCCTGGGTTAGTTTTATACGCTAGTTGAATCAATCAACATGTCCCAAAGAAACTGCTATTTTGTGGAATGAGTGCCATCTGTGGTTAGCTACACAGCTTCCTCTATACCACGAAAGGGCTGAAGTGCACATGTTTTGTGGTCAAAGTGTGTGTGCGCACACGCAGGAGGTGACAAGAATATCCTCTTCTGCAGGGAAAAGAGGCTGAACTGCACCCTCTATATGTGGAATGTAGTAAATTGGAGTCTGCAGTGAATGCAAGACCAGGTCAGATGAGGTACTGTCATTATCTGACGCTGTTAGTACTTGACTCCTTGCAAAGGGCACTGGTTGAGCAATCCTGACCACTTGTGCCAACCAGACAGCACTGTAAACATACTATTCTCTTTTCCTTTTTCCCTCCAGTAAACACTTAAATAGCAGCCAAAATACCTTTAAAAAACTATCAGAATATCTGTAGCTTAAATATTCCTTCCTTTTCTCCCACAATCAGTTGTACCCACAATTTAATTGGTATAATTAACCATTGCACAATTATTATCAACACCTCTTTTAAAGAGCTGCGTGTCAAAACCAAGATGAGAATAAAAGTGATTCATTYGTCCAATCCTGTAAGTAATCCTATCTCATCAGTACAGTTTGTTTCTCACTTTCATGAATAATGAAATTTTACAAGAAGTTTTGGGCATGGGGAGATAGGGAAAGGAGCATACAGTTTGTGACACATTCAAGCTCTGTACAAAAGGCAGGAATTATCTACTGGAAAGTACTCTAGCAGTTCTTACTAAATTAGATTTTTTGTCATTAGCAGGATGGAGATATAGCTCAAATACAGCYATGTCTATGAGTAATCCTTGAACAAATAACCATGAATTTAGACCCTAGCAATGAGCTATGGATTTTCACAGAATCACAGAATATTCAAGGTTGGAAGAAGGGACCTCTAGAGATCATCTAGTCCATATCATCCTCCACGTCCCTCTTATACTAGGGAGCCCAGAACTGCCCCCAGTACTCCAGGTGCGGCCTCACCAGAGCTGAGKAGAGGGGCAGAATCACCTCCCTTGACCTGCTGGCAACRCTCCTCCTGATGCAGGCCAGGAGCCCATTTTCTTTTATTAGAAAGATTTTTTAAAATTATTTTTATTATTATTATTTTATTTCTTTTTTAGTAAAGAGAACAAAAAATCATACAGTAATCAGTCTGGAAACAGGAGATTAGGCAACCTAAAATTATCATGGAAAACACAATTGTTTATTATATTTTTAAAAGTGTCTCATGCACTTACACTGCAAGGAAAACAACTCAGTATATAATTATCTCTGTTTACAACTGAATAACCTACTTAGCATTTGAAAATATATGGAAGATAATTTGATAAATGGGGAAAGCTGGATGAAAAAAAAAAAATTCTGGAGCTAGACATTTAATTGAGGTCTGCTGGGGACAGTTCCAGACTTCTGAACAAGAGAGATGGTAACATTACTGATTAATCCAAGATTCATGTGCTAAAAACMAACAAACAAACAGAACTTAGTACTTTACCTAGAATTAAAAGAATTTGAAAACAATGTGTTTGTTAGASAAGTCTATGTGTTTGTAGGTAAAACATATATATATATAGCTTATTAAATAAGCAGTTATTTAATATCCCATTATAAGTCATTTATATGTTTAAAGTCTGTTGTGTTGTTTGCTGGTCATTGCTACTCTGCATACAAATCTCTGCCTATTTTTCATGTAGATCGACTTAACACTTGCTTATAGATAACATTCATACATTTAAAATCCTTTAGGGGAAGCTATTCTGTATTCAAATGGTCAAGGTTCATGCATACTTCTTCGGACACTTTCTAAGATGTCTGGAGACACCTTAGATGTCTCCAAATGTGTCTGCAGACRCATTTGGCCAAATTTAATTCTTCATGGGATTCCAATGTAGGAAAATAATTCTCCCTTTCAAACTGTGAATAAACTGTCATTGAACTTTATCTAATATAACACTGGCTTTACTAAAAATGATAAAAAAGACTGTTCTTCTTAGAGTTCTTCGGCTCCCACTATCTATTTCAGTGTTGGATTTTCTTCTAGTATGAAATACATCAACAGACCAGTACTTGATAACAAGTCTTGAATTGCCAGTTTAAAAACGTAAAATAYCTAGTTTGGGATTTCCATTCCAGTGAGTTATCATGAGTGATTTAGACACAGATTTTCTAGCCAAAAGCTACCCGATTATTCTTTTCCAAAACTTTTCTAAGTGTTGATAGACTRAACTTTCTGATAGGTCAAGAATTGGATACATTTGCGCAAAATACAAACCAGGGATGCATCAGTAAACAGCCTTGTCAGTGGCCTAACTTCTACTCCATATATAAGCCAGTACTAAGAAAGATATCGACAACAGCTTTAAGGCCTCATTAGCACTGACATAGCCACAGACTTGACTCAGCTGCTCTCCAAGTACCATGGAGCTACGGACACGGTAGCCCAGTGGTCAAAGGGGCTGGATCTGTGGGACATGCAACCTGAGAGGGTCCGATCTACTAGGGACAGGAGAGTGCACCTACTATCTAAGGCTAAGGGCTCTTAAGTAGGACTCTGTCTAGGACGAAGTATAAACATAACCTCTGCATGAAATCATACTTGGAAGATACATCTTATGACAACCACAGATCTTTGCACAACAATTCTCTCAGGCATTTTAAGAATAAAGTGTTTGCAAATAAACACATTCCGTTTTATTTATTCTTGGTATGTGCTTTTTGCCTTTTTCCTATGTTGTTTCCAAAGAGAAGTAATCTAGAAATCACTGTTGGCTCGTAGATTAAGTAGCTGCAGCATCTGGAGACCTAGCGTGCTACATGGAAAGATTAAATTCTGGTGGTTTTTTGAACATCTGGTGGTTTTTGAACATCACTTGTTCAAAGAAATTCTATAAAGATTCTGAAAACAATCTTTCAAAGTTAAGCCCTAGAGAGATGAGCGATCTGGAAGGATAGCTAAGGAAGGATAAAAGAGATATTAGATGGCAAAAAATGCCATCTAATCAAACCTCTACCATCCATGGTAGAGGATCCCTGGCGAAAAGTGGAATTAACTCTCAAGAAAAGCCTAGGAAGCTTTCTACTTTGTGGACTCCATCTCTCAATCTAGTTTAGATTCAACCTTCTTCAGTATTGACGCTGCCTACGATATTGTCTCATGATTCATCACAAGAAAGCGAAGAAAATGCTGGGTCAAATTCTGGAATGCCATGGCCCTGTCTACAGAATAATCAACTATCCAATCAAATATTACAAGGTATAGCAAAATGGTTGGAAGGKACCTCTAGAGATCATCTAGTCCAATTCCCCTGCTCAAGCAGGGACACCCAGAGCATGTGGCACACAGTGGCATCCAGGTGGGTTTGGAAATTCTGYGGAGGAGGAGACTCCACAACCTCTCTGGGAGCCTGTTCCGGGGCTCTGTCGCCCTCAGAGTAAAGAATATGTAGGAGAGCAGGTTATCTTTATTAAGTGCTACTTTTTGGATCAAGTAGTATATGAAGAATATGTGGTTTTATTGGGAAAGAAGAAGAATCCATAGTCTTACAGCACATCATGTCTGATAATGAGCAGTGTTAGGGTTTTCACACAAAAGTAAGATGCATAAAATAATGATAGGAATGTGACCAGACTTGCTAGTTCTTCTGCCAAGGAGAAAGATTTGGAGCTGTGACCAAATCTCATGAGCCAAATGAAAAGAACACAAAATATATTTTTAAAGCTACTGTTCATTAAGGAGTTAATTTAATTTCTGATATGTTTGTTTAGCCATCCTGAGGTTGCAATAGACCCATATTTGAACAATCTGCTGGTATGATGACACTAAACTTGGAAAATGTACAGCACACAGAAGTCATAAAATAAAGGTGAGGTTTGTTGGGCAATTCTATGTCACCCACATCAAATTCGATAAAAACATTGACTCAGAATGATACAAGTGTATTAACACTTTGGCCTTGAGAAAATTCATAAATACTTTTAGTTCAGAAATACTAGTGGTTATCAGCCTACCCATCAAAAGACACTATTAACAATTCCTATCTTAGAATATTTARAATACACCCACACTACCAGTATGGCAAAGTGCCATACAAGCAACTGAAAAAGTAACAAAGCTTACCAGGACCTGAGGTGCTACGAATGAATGAACCACAACATAAAGGAAATTATTCATGTATATCTTTGTATCTGAGTAACTTTAAAAATAATAATAATAATTTAAAAAGATTAAAAAGATTAAAAAGATTTACAAAGAACAAAGCATGATAAGGGTCAGAATGGTGTTAAGGATGTTCTTTAAAGCGGAATGCTTCCTGATGGGAGCAGCCCGGTGCCCATCCGGCAAGAGCTCCGCACCTTCGCATCCCCGTCACCCTCCCCGCGCATCCACCTGCCCCCGCGGGAATCCACCGGGGACGCTGGGAGCGCGGGTCCGCGCTGCCCCCCTTCTTCCTCCTCCTCCTCCTCCTCGTCCTCCTACTCCCGCGCGCCCCTCACCCTCCAGGCCGGCTCCAGCTCGAAGTCGCGGGCCCGCAGGAAGCGCAGCAAAAAGCCGTCGGTGAGAGGCTGCGGCCAGCGCTGCCCGGGCTCCTCCTGCGCCCGCCGCCGCAGCTCGTCCAGCGCCGCCGGCTCCGCGGCGCCCTGCGACATCGCGCTGCGCGGCCGCTGCGCCCCGCTCCGCGACGCGGCGCCCGGGCCCGCCGTGGCGGAGCCCGCCAGAGGCCGCGCGGCCTCCGCCCCCGGCCGCGCTTAACCCCAGCGCGCCCGCGCAGCCCGGCCCGGCCCCAAGGAGAGCGGCTGGCTCCCTGCCGGGCCCTGCCTCCCGCCGGCGGGGCCGCCAGCCACCCCCGGGGCATCCGCCAGCTTGGGAAAACGCCATGGAAAAGCCTTTTTGAAAAACAAAAATCTTCAGCTACAAATAAATAAATAAATGGCAAATAAATAAATAAATAAATAAATAAAGGCAGCGTCTGCAGCGTGTGCAGCTGGGAAGCTCTGTGCTAATGGGATCCCAGTGCCGGGAGTAAACTTGGAGCCCCTATTCATTCATGTGAGCACTCACTGATAGAAGTACATCTAGTCCTAGTGGGTGATGGAAATAAAGTCAACTTTAGTCCAATTTTGTTGCCCTGGAAGTAAGTTCCCAATACCTAAGGTGAAGAGTTCACTGCTATTAGTATTTTTATTATAGTCATTTCCTTTGATTAGGCTTTCTTTGATATCTTTCTCTGAGATACTTAGGCTAAAAGTTCTACTTCATTTAATGTGCAATATATATGGCATGCCTAGCCTACTAACAGGTTTACAAAAGTTTCTCCCAGATAATCCCACCCCTTTGTGGCTTGCTTGCTTTCTTTTTCTGTCTCTCCCTCTCTATATATGCACATATATATTTATATATTTATATCATACTGACATAATTCTCATGCATTCATAGGTATCCCCTCGGTTTTATAAAATGTAAAAGAAGCTATCTAATTAAATGCAGACATGTGAAGTAAAGGAGAAAAATGAATAATATTGCCAAAGTAGAGCACAAACTCAAGATAACAATGAGGACAAGCCTGCGGCAAACCGTGCTAAGGCAGTAAAGGTAAAAAATACAGAAAGGGTGAGGATCAAGGGTGTGGTGAACATGCAGAAAGGCAGGTAAAAGTGGAAGGGAATACGAAGCTGCCACAGATCAAAAAGAAATAGAAATCTGGAATGAGAAGAAAACCCAAGAAAAGCAGAATGAGGAGAGGATGATACCAGGGGGTTGCAGTAAAGCCTTTGTTGCTATATAGAACTGGACAGAGCCTTTGTGGGAAAAATTGTATACAAACATGCAACCAAGCCATCAACAGCAGTACAAGCAGAAAGGGGTATCACACCAAGGGGTATCACACCAAGGTCATGCAGTGCTTTTAAATGTTGCTTCCTAATTTTTGAGCACTTAATATTGCCATCTCAGTCTTCTTACCGCTCAGCAGCTCTGATCTGTAAAGCATAAAGGGGCAGAACATACACATAATCATACATCACCTTTTATTACATCCTTCAGCTGAGCTTTAAGCTGGCTTTTCCTCAAACTCAGATTGCAGTTTTGGCTTCCTGCTTGACCAAAATGAGACTTTAATAGCATTTTCAGTAATTTCCCCCAAGACTAAGTTACAAAAGTGTCTTTTTTAATTTAAGATTTCTATTTAAAAGCTGATGAATGAGACTGAATTTGCAATGCAAAATAGAGCTTGTATCTCTGACACYGCAGACGTGATATCGTCAGGGCTTCACAGAGAGGAGCTCTGGGTCCTTGTAATAACCCTGAAACCTTTCCAAAATGTCAAACACTCGACCCTCTACCTGCACAATCAAGACCTGTTTCAAGGCAAAGTGTGTAGTGAGCTTGTGCTTTGTTTAATCACAAAGAGAACTCAAGTGTCTGAAAATGCTTTCCAAATAAAATATGCCAGTTCTTAAACCTTGCCTGACCTGTATCCTTGGATCATGATAATTACAGTGCTGCAGCAAGGACATGTCACTGTAGCAATGCTGTGTAGTTGTCCTATTTTGATGTATTCCTATGACAGGCTCTTCTTAAGAGCTGCAACATGAGCCTGAGAAGCTTTATTTTGGTGTAACCTCCACATTATAATTTTAACAGGTCTTTTGTGGCAAGTGTTGTGCAGGCAACTGCCYGACTATAAACAGAATGTCTGTATACATACAAATGTAAAGGTGACATACCCTCGATGAAGTTTAAAAGTATTCACCTCTATCTGACCTTAAGCTGTTTTTCTCTGGCTGTTTTCACAAGTAAAGGCTCTTGGCATGTCCTCCAAACATCTATCCACTTTCTGATGGCACAAAAGATCCCTCAATTCTGTTTTCAAAATGATAGCAACAGCTTTTGATATGTAGCATATGTATGCACTTAGCCCAGAAATTAAAGTCATAGATGGATAAAGCAGATTGATTTCAAGTGCTTTATTGAACATTACTCAAAGTTTTTCTTCTAAGACATGGGAAAAACATTTGCATATTCTCTATCTCTAATAAATAGTTATTTCAATGGGAGCACTGGCTATCTCAGAAACTTTTAAAGATTACAGGGAGATGAGACTTAGCAGACATACGTATTGTCAAACGTCAATTACTTTTTTGATGGTTGCTCCATCTGAGATTGGCTTCTTTCTTCCAATTCAGACTTTCTTCCAATTCAGACTTTCCCCCTATAACAAGAATATATGTAGCATTACTGGGATCATATTATGTGATGTTTCTAAGCACAATATGCTGTCTGTAGGTGAAATCCTGACAGTGTTGGCTGTGTATTTCCATAGTCAAAGAATTCAAAGAAWTATTCTTACTAAAGTTCAGAGAGGTCAGGGAGCAAGAGCTGTGAAAGTCGTGGATACATCCAAAGCAAAGCTTCTGAAAGCAAGATAATAAAGATCAACACTGAGATTTTTTTTTCCAGAAGAAGTATAAGTCCATTCTTTCTTTATTTATTTTACGGGACACTATAAAACCTTAAAACAGTTTTTGAGTTTTAACCAGGCAAAAAATAATTTTATGTTTCTTCTTTTAATCATATGATTAAATAGAAGATTAGGAAAATGTAAGACCTTGTCTTTCACATACTTGCATTTATGCTGGGCACATATAGGAGAGATTTCAATTGGACCGAGATTAATTGTTTAACTTTCATAGACCCTGAACACTTCACCTTGAATTTCTTGTTCTGGTTAACATGCTTAAACGCATGTAGACAAAACTCTCATAGAACGTTTAATTTTCAGATCTCTTAATTTCTTACTGAAAATTCACAAATTTAAGAGAGATTTAAGTCAGGAAATAGGACAAAAATTGGGAGAGCTGGAGAATGCCAGATGGCTTGCTTTTCCCCTTTTTCTTTCTTCTCAAAGATGCACAGCTTTGACAAAATAGCCTTTCACTCCTCCAAAATTTAAGCTTCCATTTTCTGTATTTCAAATTTATCACATCTTCCAGAATGGACAGGCATTTGGTAAAAAAAATATGTCACCATTCATTAGCTAAAGATAAATCAAACTGTATGTTACAGGAAAAAAAAATTATTTATCATCTTGTATTTATCACACCTACTTAAACTACTACACCTGTACAAGCAAAGTCCCATACAAATGTGATCAATCACTGAAATCCTGAGCAGGCAATCAAATCAGTGGGATACTCAGCTTGCCATATGAGTCTGTCCACAAAAATCACTTTGGATTATTGCTGTTCAAATAWGGAAGGAAGGAAGGAATAAGCAAAACTGAATTAAGAACTCATTACTGTGTTTGAAGGCTGACCATTTCACACAGTAAAAGATATATAATAGATGTTATCCTTCTCTGAATCAATACTGTAGTAATGCTTCATAAAGGGAGATGGTGCTGAGGATACCAGCCTTTCAATGCATCTTAAACCCCACGACTTAACAGCTCTAGTTGTTGCAGTAAATATTTTCTCATATTTGTCTGAATTTCTCCAGGATCCATCCTTCTTGTCTGTCTACTCATCAGAGCTGGTAGCATTATTCAAAACCTTGGCAAACCTGTYGCTATTGTATTAGACTATAAAGCTTAGAGTAGGAGGTGGCAGGTGACTCAGCATCTTGGCACTAGCCTTTAAAGATCTCCTTCTGTGAAGTAATTGGGCAATCTCAGCTGACAGTGGATGGTGGGTGGCAGAGAATTTGTCTGTGATTTTACACCACAAAAGATTACTTACAAAACCATCTTGGTATAAAGTTACAAAAAGATGTCCCATAAGCACAGCCCAAGCCTTTAGTTAAATTCAATTAAATCATGCTTAATGATCCTGCTCTTTAGGATCCTTGGAGTGTGAAGAGATCACAAAGAACATTCATAGCCACAAACCCAAGAACAGTGATAAAGGGGAGACTTTGATCCTGCTGTCTTGCAAGATTGTGACTCATGAGCAACAAATCATTTGGAGAACTGATGTTCTCCACCAGTTTATTTTTCCCTGCAGATCTTCTGGCACTTCCATCTCCTCAAGCTTTGGGCGTGCTAATGAGGCAATAAGGGCCATATCACATGGCTGGCAGAATATGCACCACACTGTAGGTTTTAAAGAGAGAGGAAAGGCCTTTTTAGGTTCCCTTGATCCTCTTCACTGTTCCCTTTCAAGTTAATCTGCCTTTGGGAAAGGATTTACCCATCAGTTATGTACATAATTAAAGACTTAAAGCTTTAATTTCACCTTTCATAGTTTTTCCACCTATCACTCATTTTGGTTGATATTCATCTAATTGGCTTAATTGTGTTTTCATTGAAGAGCTTCTGTAATGGATGCTGAGGAAGAACTACCCCCCCTAAAAAAAAGCCAAACACAGCAGCTCTTCAGCAAATATCTTGTTTTTTCTTGCATCTGTTTCACAACTTTTGTTTATGACTGTGTGTTAGGTCTTCCTGTCCTTAGTGTCCCTCACAGGACCTATGCTCAGGATTCTCTGTTGCTTTTGCAGTTTATCAGGATATTTGCTATATAAGCATACAACTGATAAAAGGTGCTTTCTCAGATTTACTGGCGCTAGCAAACCATTAAAACCAAACTAAAAGAAAACAACAACAACAAAAAACGAAACACAGGAACAAAATAAACAACAATAAAGCCCAGCA